ATTTGTGAAAAAAACAGAATCTCATTTACGTTATTTACAAGAAAATACAGAAAATATTTTGTTTACAAGAAAATATTTTATTTTTACATTCATTTAATATTTATTATTGCTTCCTGAATTTTTAATGAATTTAAATAAACGACTTGACATCCCAGCTAACACAAAACGTTCAACGAATGTTGCAAACGTTAAAAAAACTTCTATGAACGTTCATAGAACGTTCTAGAATGTTCATAGGACGTTCTCGAACGTTCGCAATGTTTGACGAACGTACTTGAACGTTTTGTGCTAGCTGGGACACAAGATTTTGGATAATTTCTATAGATATTTCATTCCAAGCTTCTCTGATACAAGTTTTCAGCTCCAATGTAGATTCAAGTTGCTTACCATTTTCATAAACTTTTCTAGAAAGTATTCCCCATAGATTTTCAATTGGGTTGATCTGAACTGCATGCGGGCTATTCCATTAAGTGAATATTTTTTTCTTTAAACTAAGCTTTGTACGATTTGAATTATAGATAGCAGTATTTTTTTGTTGAAAATAGAAATTTTCACCCATCAATTCATCACCATGTTCAAGCAAACTAAGTTCTAATAAGTCAATGTAGTCCTGTGAACTCATATTTGTTGAAATCCATGGCAGTGGATGTTTTCCCGCAAATGAAAAAAACTCCCAATGTCCCACCACCAATGTTAAGACTCATAAGTTTTTTCCTCTTTTTGAAGATCGTGCCAGTAATATTGATAGCCATCAGGACCATCTAAACTAAACTTTTTTCATCACTAAAGAGAACTTGATGCCACTCTTTCTGCCTAGACATGTGTTCTTTTACAAATTGTAATGTAGCTTCTTTATGACAAACCGTAAGTTTTGGTTTTGCGTTTGGATCTTCATGTAAGATTTATTACACACGTTGAACAGTTACAGGTAATAGTAGATCAGCACAAATTCGAGATGCATTTATGTGCTGAGCAGCAGCACGACGTAAAATAGCTCATTTAGTACAATTATCAATTTTACGTTTGCCACCACTTCCCTTATAAACTCCATAATTAACGGCCCATTTTAAAGTAATTATTAACCACTATTGGAGATCTTATATTTTTCATTGCAATTTCCCAATTAGATAAGTCTTTATCTTTGTATGCTCTGGTTACAGTTATTTCTTTATTTGTTTAAACGCTTACCACGTCCCATTTCAAACTAAGGTATCAAAAACCAAATGTTGAAAAACTTTATGAGCACTGATTTCACAGTCTTTGTTTAATTTACAAATAATAATAAAAAATTAAGTCACAAATACGTAAAAACAGATCAAAATATACTAGTAAACTGAAAATAATTATTGATGAGGCTACTGGCAATTATTGATGATTCTATTTGTTACCGCAAATATCAAGTATTATACATTTTATGGTTTTGTCAAGTGTACCACAATTTAATTATGTTATATTATAATCTAAAAAGATGTTGTTTGTAAAAATAATTATATGTGTGTGGATGCAAAATATGCGTCGCTCAAATTTGCTTACAGATTAACAAAATATTGAATTAGAACATGGTGAGGCTAATTCTATTTTCTCCACTCTATTTAAACATGCCTGTAATTTTGGACTTAGGGTATGTTTAAATAGTTAAGGACATTCAACAAATCATGAAAAATCTTGTTTTGTAGTGTTATACTATCTGTATACCTAATAACAATTTTATAATAATAATAATTGTTATACTATCTGTATACCTAATAACAATAGACATCTGTTTAAGATTGGCACAGATGCAGTTAAAATTGAAAAGTACTTGCTCTTATTGTTTTCAGAAATAAGAATCTCCTCAAAAGCCCCCAACACTCATACCTTACCCCAACACTCATACCTTACCCCAACACTCTATAAGTTAATTTTGTGTGGTTTCAGAAATGTATGTGGCATTTTTAGGGGCTGATATTAAATGATCTTATATGATCATTTAATCATATAAGATCATTTAATATCAGTTATCTGCATAAATTCTAAAATCAAGTAGTTCGAAAAATTTTCCTACAACTTTTTTTTTTAGGGCTTTTCTATATTATAGGAGAGTCTCCTATATAGAATTATAGTTGATTTTACTGACAATAGAATCTTATTAACTTATTAACTATCAACTTATAAGGACCTCCTTAATTGAAGCTTAAATTTGAAGATTAAAATTGGTTTTTAAAGAAATAAAAATTTAATATTTTAATTATTTACATTTATAGCAAATGACAATAGAAATTATTTATATGTGGCAAAACTATCATTAATAGTATTTACCTGTTGAATGAAATAAACATGTTATAGTTAAATGTTAAAAGAATGTTATATAATTGTAGTAATTATAAAAATGTAGAATAAGCGCAGAGGTTCCATAAAAGTAAACAGGTACAGTTAAGAAAAGCATGTTAGGCTTTTTATAATAAGCCCAGTTAGCACAGATCGTTTTTAAAACGTTTAAAAAACGTTAATATCCGTTTTAATAAGTTTTTAAACGTTTTAAAAACGTCCTGTGCTTACTGAGAATAGTTATTATATAGTTCGTAAAAATATAGTTAAAAAATATACCTTAAAACTGCAAAACCTTGATCCATTTTTAAAGACTTTGTAAAAACATTTTGAAAGACTATGTAAAAACATTCATGTAAGGGCATCTTGTAACCAAAAGGTTTAACAATAATTCAAACTTGTGAGATATTTAAACCATTTGGTTTTGAAAACAATTTTTTTTCACAACAGTTTATATTTTGAATGTGAGAAGTATCAATATCATTTGAAACAGTATTTTATCAAAAAATATACGCCATAACTACAAACTTTCTAAGAAGGCGCTTGGGTAATAATCATTGTTTCTAACTTGCCTTGTTCCGCTTCAGATTACAACTTATGTTAGAGAAACTTTAATTGTCATTTGGAAAAATATAAAACACCTTCTTCTACTTTATATTGCCAACTTTTATGATTTAAATTTGAAAAAGGAACAACTATTAAAGAAAACCACCTAGTTGTCATAGAATGTTCCTTAACTTTTCAGAACCACGTTAAAGGTGTTATTTAAAATTTTTTAGTTTAAGGTTTTAACAAGTTTTAAACGATTAAAAATCTAAAATCAAAAATAGTATGTTACTTATTAAAGAAACTACTATGAAAGATGAGATTTTTTACTATAAAGACAATAAGTATTTATAGTGAAAAAGCTCAAGAAGCTAAAAATAAAGAATTTAGAAAATATAGGAAACATCATTCTAGCAAAAAAAAAAAAATTCCTATGGTGTTAAACTTTTTACTTGCGAGAATTCAACGTTCTAGAAAAATCTAATTCATACTTTTTAATTGTAATTTTTATTCAGAGTTTTAAGTTTTAAGCAGTAAATAGGAGCTTTATATGATATTAATTTTAAATGGCTTGTATATTTAATTTATAACAGTGGTAACGAAAAAATTAAAAAAATAGTTTTGGCACGAAAAACACGATTACTCTTACTGTGCGAGAAGAAATCGAGTTAGCAAAATAGCATAGAGAAAGCAGACATACACTACACTAGATGTTAGAAAATGCAATGTAAGTTCAAAATCAAAGTAACTCGATTAGGATAGTGTTGTTACGTATATCGTTTACATAACTTAACGTCTCTGCAAGAGTTTGAAACTCATTTTTTTTTTTTTTTTTTTTTTTTTTTTTATTACAAAATTATATATTTACTATTTTATAAAATTACATTAACTCAAAATTTTGAAAATTATAGTTTTACAATATATCGTGCACGTTTTCAAAAGAATAATTGTTACTATGGTTTTAATAATAATCATGTTACAATAATAATTATAAGAATGGTGATACAATGGTTACCGTGGTTATATATATATACATATATATATATATATATATATATATATATATATATATATATATATATATATATATATATATATATATATATATATATATATATATATATATATATATATATATATATATATATATATATATATATATATTTTTTTTTTTTGATTTTTTAAATTTTATATTTTTTTGTGTTTTTGTATTTTATATTTTTTTTATTTTTTGATTTTATATTTTTTTTTTTGTATTTTTTGTTTTTATAATAGAAAGCCATTGTGCGGAAAAAAAAATCGAAGGTTTGGAAAATTTAAAGAGGAAGATATTTTAAAAAGAATTCGAGAAGTTATTATTTAAAGAAAGGAAATTATAACTTAATAACAGCAAAAAAGTACAAGACTTTCACACAAATACCACATTATGTACGCTACTTGATACTCATACTGTTTTATGCATTTTTGGCCTGAAGATCAATTGAAGTCGGATATATTGTGTTCCTAATAATATTTATCTGGTATATTACTTGTGGTTTTACTTTATAAAATTTAAATTTATAGTAATAATTGTCTAAGACCTTTTAAAAATTAAAAGTAGTAAGAGATTGCCGGTTCTGGGCCATTTTCATTTTTAACCATATTTTCAACCATAAATTAATATTAATATAGGGTTCAATGTTAACCATGATGTGAATAATTATTTATATAAGAAATAAATTTTCAAATTTATATAAATTTGAAAAAATTGAATTTTTTTTTAAATAAGTGTTAATTTTTTATTTCTTGTCGAAAAATGTCACGTGACTTTCTTGTAGTGACGTTACGTGACTTTTTCTAATAATAAATATTATCTGGTGTTTTTAACTTTTCTTCTTCTAATCTTTCCTTTTCTAACTTTTCATATTGTAATTTAAATTGTTTTTGCAAATAACAAGCTAAACTTAATCTTCTTTTATAACTTCCTAATTTAATATCTACATCTTTACTTGTACAATCCATTTCTTATAATTTATGTAAAGAAATTTATTTTCAATTTTTTTCTTGTGCGCTAATTGATCTTTCAGATCTGTGCGCATGCGCGTAGTAGAAGCATTGGTTAGCTTTATCACTACTAGAATTTATAGTCACTACGTGTAACAAAAGTATTAATATGCCAATCCCATTATAGCAATATCAAGTAAATTTTCAGGTCCTCTTAAATTTAATGAATGGAAATATTCAAGGATATGTAAATGACAATTAATAGTAGCACAAATAAATGCTACATCAGTTACTTTATAATTTAACGATATTAAATATTTAACATTATCTAAATTTCCATAATAAGCAGCATTATCAATTGCATTTTCTGTACCTTTATACCCTAATTCATGTAAATATTTAATTACTTCAAGATGACCATTTAAAGCAGCATTATCAATTGCATTTTCTGTACCTTTATACCCTAATTCATGTAAATATTTAATTACTTCAAGATGACCATTTAAAGCAGCATTATCAATTGCATCTTCTGTACCTTTATACCCTAATTCATGTAAATATTTAATTACTTCAAGATGACCATTTAAAGCAGCATTATCAATTGCATATTCTATACCTTTATACCCTAATTCATGTAAATATTTAATTACTTCAAGATGTCCATTTTTAGCAGCATTATCAATTGCTACATCTGTTCCTTTTTCTCCTAATTGAACTAATAATTTAATTAGATCATTTCTACCTATTTTTGCAGCAAAGTCAATTTTATTCCAATTATCTTTATAACATTCTTTTTTTAATATTTCAGTAATATAATATATTTGAGTTGAAGGCTCATTTATGTTTTCTATTAAAAAATTATTATTCTCAATATTATTTTCCATTCTTTTTATATAGAAAAGAAAATTATTTAACTCATTTTCAAAATTTTTATTATTTTTTAATGCGCATGCGTTTAATTTCTTAATAAAATCTGGATCTATTTGAGATCTTATGCATAGTAGAAGCATTGTCCTATCAGTGCAGCATAGCTTCCAGATTGTCCAACTTGTGCATCACCAGAGTTGAGTGTCACTACCATTCTTCTACCTTTACCAACTCTCCATTAATATTAAGATTTAAACTGCCATTAATATTAAGATTTCCATTTCTATCTCAAGTCTCAAGTCTCAAGTCTCAAGTCTCCATTAATATTAAGATTTAAACTGCCACCTGATGTGCTACCAAAAGCAGATAATCCATTCATTGAACTACTACCGAATATATTAATACTCATTTTATATACTCATTATTATTTAATTTATTTTTTATAATATATCTAAGATTCACCAAAGTGAATTGATGATGTTTTGAAATTCTTTTCCATCATTTAGTTTTTTCAAGACATAGAGACACAAGTGCCCGCAATAGGAAGTATTTCCAAACTGAACTTGTTCAGTATTGTAGTAAACAGGACTGTGTAAATATTGAACAAGTTCAACTGGAGGTGGTAATCCATAAGAGTCAAAACTTAGTTTCATATCTCCGTCTTTATACCAGCAAATCCAATGAAATCCATTCGTACTTGAATCTCCAGTATTTAATATTCCACATTCTTTGTTTTGTGTATTTTTAGGTAATTCATCTCTTACAAATACACCTCTAAAATTTTTAATTTTTAATTTTTTTGCTGCTTTTATTAATTGAAAGTTTGTTAAGGGTACATTTGGCAATATAATTCCTTCAACATTGATATGTTTGTCCATTTTTATTACTTTATTAGATTTTTTTAGATCTCTTTAGATATAAAAAAAATAACTTACCTGTGTGTTGCCTGCCTGCTTATTTAAGTTTATAATGTCCATATGCTAATGTGTGAATACCATCTTCTTGAATTACTCTTTTATCATCTTCTGCACTCAATGCTATTTTGTTTGTTTCTTCAGTATAAACATCATGACAATGAGATCTTATGACATTCATTTTTCTCATTTGATCTTTCTTATTTATAAGGCAGTCTTTATAATCCTCATGTGTAATATAATTTTTTACTACATTTCTCTTTACTCCCTTACATCTCTTTTTATCTTCTTCATCTATTTTGTAAGAATACAACTTTGATCTGAGTCCAATAAATTCTGTAATTTGTTTTCCTGCTGACTCATCTTTAAACATTCCTATTACTTTCTTATTTACACCTACTTTAAATCCATTTTGAACAGCTGGATGATCTTTATTAAATTCACTTGTATCAAATTTACTTTCAATATCATTTGCAATATCTGCATAAAAGTCTTTTGTTTTTATTTCATAGATTAATGAATCTGTATCTGTATATAATAGTTTAGCTTTATCTCCATATTTATTTTTTATATAATCATAATGAAATTCATACATTAGTGTTTTACTCAAATCTAAATTACACATACCCAAGTAAATGGGTTTATTATATACAAGCTTTGTTCTTTTCATATGAATAGCTATTAAATTTTCATCAAATATCGTTCTACTTTTATAGTTTGGTTTTGATGCTAATTTAATAGCTTCTTCTCTTTTAGAAACTAATCTCACATCAACTCTGTTTTCAATGTTCTCCATTGTCTTTCCAAATACTGAGTTGTTCATAAGTTTGAAAAAGTCCTTTTCAAAGTCATTTGTTGCTTTTATTCTTAGATCTGTATTGAGTTTAATGTATTTACTTAACCATGCATTTTCTTCAAACTTTATTCCTCTATGAATTTTTGTTATTTGCATTCCTAGTCTTTCATACAGTTTTAAGTTTTCATAGTGAATGATATAATTTTTCTTATGATTTAAATTAGGTATTAATTTTTCAACTCTGTCTATTTTTAATCTTTCAGGAGCAAGTGGATAATCATTATGAACATCATGTAAATGTTCAGGATATTCTAAATCTACTTCTAATATGCAAGAAGTAGATTTCCAATTTTTTAATTCTTCTTCATTCATCCATTTAAATCTATGTGTTGGAAGGGGCTTACTCATTGCCCACCCATATAAATTATTTGCATCTAGATACTGTATGTAAGTAGATTCTTTACTTTCATCATAATTTTCCATGTATTTATTGTTAGCAGTTCCTAATCTTTTAGAAACTATACTAATTCCACCTTTTATTCCTTCTTTTATCATTAAAATCATGTCATAATCACTTAATAATTCTAATTTTACTTCTGTTATTTTCAACGCAGCATCCCAAGCTAATCCAGGTGCTGTATAGTACCAAGCAGGATCTAATTTGTAATTGTTAAAACAGACATCTCTAAAATTTTCAAAGACATCAGCTAGTAATAATACATCAGATTTGTTATATAAATTATGATAATCTTTAAATGTTTCACAATTAAACTCTTTCCATACATTTTGAGCATGTAAATAATCTTCATCACTTATTCCTTCATCATTTAATCTTGAATAAAATGATTCTTTTGGTGGTAATTGTGTTTCATTTAATTTATCAATAGAGTCAACCCATTCATAAGGATAAACACCTTTTCTTAACAATAAATTGAGTTCATTTCCAGAATAGTATCTACTAATATTTTTACATTGATCTTTTGACAAATTTTTAGTTAAACTATCTAAACTAGCAGCCATAAATTTAAAACTATCTAGAAAACGTAGATACAGTTTAACTTCAACTTTTTTACCTTCTCTATTCATAAATTCATTTACTTTAAGTTCTTTAGAAAAGCTGATATATTTTTCTTCATTGTTGGGTATACAATTTATTTTTCCTCCTTCTGACAATTTCTTTATGAACAAGTGAGAGTCATAACCAGATAAATTGTGAAATAGTACTGGAATGAATTTTGGATTTTTAAATTGTAAATTACACTCATTATGTGCAGCACCTCTATATTTTCCAGTAATATGACAATGATCTTTTACTTTATCTTCATTAAGATCTTTTTCACAAATGTGACATACTTTTGCATTATCAAATTCTTCTTTGTCTTTACAAGTAATTATCATATCTTTTGGAAATTTTAAATAATCGTTGTAAATCTTTTTTACATCTTCTTCTAGCATATTAACAAATTTTTGTGCTACATCTTCATCTTCATTACTTGCAGTGAATGTAACTAGTTTACTTTGATATACACTTTCATCAAAGCATTTAATATAGTAACAAAATGAACTAGGTGTATGCTTTTGGTACTGCTTTGTATAAGATTCATCTGGGTTATGTGCACAAGTGTTGATAGGTTTAATAAAACTTTCAAAGTCAGCATAGACTACAAAGGGCACTCTCATAGATTTTTTAAAATGATTAAACTTTATCATTGTATTTGGTTTTGGAAGCTCAATTCGTACTGAATCATGAGTATCACAATACAATTTATGCTTTGATAAAGATTCTTCAGTACAAAATCCTAACAAGCAATTTCTACAATAAAACATTTCATGTTCATTTTTAGATATTTGTGATGAAAGTAATCTACTTAGATTTTTAATTAAACAATAGTGATTGGTTTCATCATTTGAAATGAGTAACAAGTCTATTTGATGTTGTCTATTTTTCTCATTTGATATTCTTAAAGGATAAACAGAATTTTCATAACCAAATACATTAACACTTATGTCTTGATTATTTTTCTCAAATTGAGTAATCTGTTGTAGTGACACTGGGAATTTTATTTTTTCCCAATTTAATTTCTCAGCTTGTTCTTTTAAATCTTTATCTACTCTTTCAGGATGATTGTCTTTAGGATTAAAAAATCTGACAACACACCACTTAAAGCATTCGTTGTCTTCATTCTTCATATTAATAATTGCTTTTTTAGATGCCAACTCTTTAGGAAGAGGAATGTAAGATTTTCCTTTAATAGGCTTATATTCAATGATATTAATGTCCATCTTTTTAACTGATACAAATCTCCAATTTGATCCTAGTTGTTGAAATGCTGACAAGGATTCTAAAATTTTTTGTTCAGCTCTTTCATAAAAGTCATTTAAATCTGTTGACTCTAATACAACTTCTGCTTTTGTTGAAAATGATGCAATAGTTGTTATAGTTTCTCCTGTTTTAAGATCAGTACGCTCCATTTCACATGAAAGAACAAAATAGATTTTTGATTCTTTATTACTATTTAAAATATTTAATACATTATTTTTAACTGATTTCATATAAGATAAAGCATCAGCTCCTTCAACTCCTTCAGCTGAAAATTGTGTTGTCACATTTCTAACAGCTGATTGTGTTAATTTAAACTCTATTGGTTTCTTTTCTCTCTTCTTTTCTCTCTTCTTTTCTTTTTTAGATTCTATAGGTTTTATAACATGTTCACTTTTAAATCCTACTTTTTCATACAAATTAGAAACTGTAGATTTTAATGTATTAATTTGCGTAGTAGCTATTTCTTTAATAGGATTAGGAATATATGACATAACCCAATTTGTTAATGAATTGATTTTATTAAAAAATCTATTAGTAATATTTGCCATTTTTTATATACAAGAAAATTATTTATATCATTTTCAATTTTTTATATTTCTTGTTAAGAAATTAATTGACAGTGAAAATCATTTCTTATTATATTTTTTATATATACAAGAAAAAATTATTTATATCGTTTTCATTTTTTATATTTCTTGTTAAGAAATTAATTGATAGCAAATAAACATTTCTTATTATATATTTTTATAGACTTATATCTATAAAAATAATTTATTTTTCATTTTCTGATTTTATTATTTCTATTTTTACTCCATTTTTAACTTTTCCATTATATTTCTCAGCATATGATTTACAATGCTTTTCTTTACGAATATAATCATACAATGAATTGTATATTTTAACTTCACCAGTTTCTATATTAGTAAGTTTTATAGTTGTTGGATTTGTTCTAATTTTCGCAAGCCAGTCATATTTAGGATCTCTTTCTTTTTTTTCTTTTATAGGATTAATTCTAGGTCTTCCAGCTTTTTTTTTCTCTTTTATTACTTTTTCTTTTTCAACTCTTTTAACTCTTACAATCTTTGGTTTTTTTTGTTTTTTAGTAATAATATTTGATTGTATAAATTCTTTATCAATTAAATTATTATCCATAGCAATCATAACTAATGCAATGTGATCTTTAGATGTTTGTTGTATATTATTTTCTTTTAGTAAATTTAATAAATACTTTTTTGTATATTTTATTTTGTCACACATTTTTATATATACAAGAAAATTATTTAACTCATTTCAAAAAAATATTTTTATTGCACATTTTACTATTTTCTTTTTCTAATATTCAAAGTTAAATCTATCTCCATTAGACTTTAGTCTACCTAATCTTTCTGACACAATAACAGCAAACGCTTCAGTTCCGACTGGAATATTTTCACTAAAGTTTGCTATAATAAGAATATCTGATGATGAAGCTTTTAATCTTTCTGATTGATGTCTTAAATCGAAAACCATAAGTGGATATAAATCTCTATAGTCTGAAGGTGTTATGTTACAATTTGAAATGATTTTATCTATTCCACAAAAATTTTCTTTAAAGTTAGATACATCTGTATAAGCTCTTGAAACTTGTTGATTTGAAAATGATAGTTCATAATCAGCTTCAGGATATCTTATATTATTAATCACAACTTGCATATTTGTTAAGTTACAATGATCGAATATTGAAGCATTTTGTGTTTGATCATTATCTTTATTTGTTTTGAATCCAACGATAATATATCTAGGTTTTTCATCACTTTTAACACCAAGTTTCCAAGTCATTTTAGATGTTTGTTGAGGAGTTGTAGTTTCACACGATCTAGAATAAAAAGCTACTGGAATTGTTGCTTTATTGCTAATAATAGTATTAAGAGTATGTCTTCCTTTATCTGATGGTGTGACATAAGGCATCCATAATGATATTTTTGTAAGATTTACTTTTCCTATAGCTGCTGCAGCAGATCGAAAAATAGCATCATTGTCATTTTTTCTTTGTAAAGTTAATGTATGTTTAAATCCGTAAATTACTTTAGTATAATCCTCACAGAATCCGAAAATATGATTTAAAGGAATACAAAACGAAAATGTACCTTTTGTAGTAGGTTTTTTTATAATGTATGCTTGTCTTACTGTAAATCCAACATTAGTAGTCAAATTTGCATCTGTTACAGTATCTTTGTACCATAGTTGATTTAATCCTTCTGCTAATTGGAAGTCATTTGAATATTTGAGCATTCCTAACATTGTAGTTGCTTGTCCTAAATTATTTACTGTTTCTATATTCTGTCCTGATAAATCATATGCCATTCTATCAAATAAATGCATAATTCCATTGTGTGTAAGTGTAACTACATCTGTATCAGCATAGGATGCACCACTTGCTGCTTGAAGTCTTCCTTCAACTTGTATATAAGCTTTAGATGGTTTAAAAAATGAATCTGTCATCTCAATATTAATTTTTATTGGTACGGTATCATTTATATTTGTACCATTTTGTGGAGTATATTCTCCAAATTGATATCTGAAAATACTATCATCAATAAAGGGATCTTCTGTTAAATCTAAACTTTTATAATCTGCCATTTTTATATGCATAAAATTTTTTTTAATTCATTTTACATTAATTTTATAAAAAATGTTACTGAAAATTATGCCATTTTTAATCCTCTTCCCATCTTTACTAATTCCTCCAGTTTAATAGCGTTTGAATGGCTTAATTTTTTATTTAATCCTCTTTTAGATCTTTTAGATGATATTGCAGATCCCATCATCAATTTATTTATATTTGTTGTTACTTCATTAGATATATTTTGAGCAAGATCATTAGCTCCAGATTCAACTAAATTTGCAAGTACTTGTTTACTTTCAGGTTTAAGCTTTGATTTTTTAATCAACTTGTTTCCTTTTTCTAATATAATATCTTTAGCTGTAGAGATTGCATTTGTAGCTAGTTCTTTACCTGCTACTTTTGCAGCATCTATTGCAGTTTTTCCTAAATCACTAGCAATGGCTTTATTAGCTAAATTACGTGATATTTTAAGTGCATTATTAATCGATCTATTATTCAGTAAGCCTCTAAAAGGACTAAATATGCCACTTCCATCAATAAAATGCTTTTTATAAACTTTTTTCTCAACAATTAACATTTTTTTATATACTTACTATTTTTATTTAAATCTCTTCGAGATTCATAAGA